GGAGGGAGAAGTGGCGGCAAAGCCACTGAAGCTCCACTGTCCTGCGATAAGGGACCCAGGAGTGGGGTGGGGGTGGGGAGCCGTGGTTTTGGGAGATGGGAGAGGGATTGAACGGACAGGGGTGCGGATTAGATGGTGCGGGGCCCTGGGTGCCAACCTGAGGCATTTGGAATCTATCCCAGAGCAGTGGTCTCAACCTTGAGCCTGCACAGCGTCCGTTGGCGGTCTTGTTAAACTGACTGCTGGGCCCCAGCCCAGAGTTTTTGATGTAGCGGATCTGGGGGGGTCCTGAGAACTTGTGTTTCTAACAAATTGCCAGGGATGCTGATGCTGCTGTTCCGGGATGGCATTCTGAGAGTCACTGGCCAAGAGGCAATGGACGGTTAGTTGGGGAGTCCTGGAGGAGGGGAGCCCTGCGAGGTGACCAGGCTCGAGCCTCGGGTGGTGGAGGTGGAGTTGGAAAGGAAGGGGGAGCCGGCAGTCCTCTGTGACTGGCTGACTCTGTCTGGTGACCCAGAAGCGGAAGACACTGCAGTGGGTGACCCCACATCACCCAGGGGAGACAGGCTTTGGAAAGAAGACCAAATGACCGTGTTTAGGCATTTCACGCCTGCAGAGGCAGCAGCAGGACTGCCAAAGGGAAGCTCTGGGTGGTGTCTCAGGAGGGCTGACGCCATGTACACCTGTGGGAGATGCTGCCTCCTCAGGACAGCCAGAGGCAGCTATGGGAGGGCCTGCAGTCTCAGGATTGCTTTTTCTTCTTGGAAGCAGGTAGGCCCACACAGGGTGCCAACTCACGACCCCATCCCCAAACCATCTACGCCAACCCATCTCCACGACTTAGCAGAAGAGAGCTAAGCCCCACTCCCGCTAACCAGGGAGCCGTGACCCCCTGAGGGGAGGAAATCCCAGCGTGCTCTCTGTAGAGCCAGGTGGCTTTCTCCCCTCTCACAGAGGCCCGATCTTTGGTTCCAGAGCAGACGTGATAGCTTTTCTTAATTTACACCATCTTCAATGCATTTTCTAAGCTGTGCCAAGAACTTGTGCTCATGTTAGGTGATAAAAACCTGTATGTCTTTCACATACTTTCCACACTGCAGTGAGAGCTAGTCTTGCTTCGGGGTGGAGGGCGGAGTGGGGGTAGCGGTAGGTGATTTATAACTCTCTTTCAGAGCAGCACAGAACCCTTCAAAGCGAGTACCCAAATAAAGAGACTTGAAAGGTAACCACTCTGAACTCTTGAAATATCAGGTTATACCTGATACATTTTATTTGACTCAAAATTCTTTAGGATACCAAATCTTGCAAAACTCAAGGCTTCTCTTTTAGGAGCACCGTTTCACTGGGGGCTTTATTATATCCCTTAAAACCAGGGGGCCTCAGGACTGCTGGTTCTGCCTGCCACAGGCATTTGTTCCTTTGCATTTCTCTGTGCCTTTGGTTACTGGTTGTGCAGGCCTCTTGCATCTAATGCAAGCTCAGCCTCGTTCCTGGTATTTCTTCACTGCCATCAGAGGAACAGAGGAGGCCCCAGAGTCTCCCTTCTGAGCATAGATGGTGACTGGAGGGTTAACACAAATCCCAGCAGCCCAGCTCAGCTCTTGGGGCCATGGCACTGCGGTGGTCTAGGGGCAGTGGGCAGAGCCCCACAATCAGAAGAAGGCCCAGGTTCCAAATCCACGTGCCCCCAGACATTGAAATCAAGGCAGTAAGTGGCCAGGGTCTCCAGCACCCAGTTAAGAGCTAGGGCGGTGGTTCTCAACCCTGGCTACACATTGAAATCTGGTGAGCTTTAAAGAAATGCCAGTGCCTGTGTTTAACCACCGAGATTCCGAGTCAGTTGGCCTGGAGGGGGCCCTGGGCATCAGGAGTCTTCAAAGCTCCCTAGATGATGCCAACATGCCGCCGAGGATGAGAACCACGGAGCCCGGGGGACCACAGGCACCCCAGTCTCATTGTGTTTTTTGGAGCAACTATTATGTGGCAGACATTAGAAACATGAGGAATAATTCTGATCCTGCCTCAGTGAAACAAACTATTAGGTCATGAAAATGTCCTGTATAACAGGGGGCAGGGGGCTGCAGGGACGGGGGATGTATTCAGGAAGAGAGGAGGTCAGGAGAGGTAAGGAGGGCCGGCCAGTGTCTTGGGGCGAGATTGTGTGTGAGAGAGACATAGTAGCACTTTTCAACAGAACGTTTGATCACTGGTCACACGCTGACAAAGTGAGTGTTGCAGGCACTTGGGGGAGCCCAGCCACAGTGAGGCTGAGACTCGTGCTGGCTCCCGGGTGCAGCCCCTCCATCCTGGGTGCCAGTCCTGGCCACATCCCTGCTTGAAGGTTGGGGCCCAAGATGGCAAATGGCTGCCAGGCCAAGTGCAACCCATTAGTCCATTTGTCCCTCTTTCACCAGCATTGCCATTTTCCTCTCTGATAGATGGAAACCAGCATGTGGCACCCCCAGAAAAGACATTCATTCTGAAGAATCCCCTACCCCCCACCCCAAGGAGCTAGGTAATGCTTTGTGTGTATGCATGCGTAGGATTCCTCACCAAGGGGAAATCTCTTGTTTTTAAAAACTTGTAGCATGTTAGGATTAACTGCTAACTGCTTTTTATACCGGGGCTTGTGAATGCAAACTCTAGACCTGCGGTCCCCAACCCCTGGTCCATGGCCTGTTAGGGACGGGGCTGTAGAGCTCCACCCACCCCAACCTGCCCCCCGACAGTCTATGGAAAAGAGGTGGGCAGCGGGCCGCTCTGCTCCCCATCACTTGCATCACCGCCTGAGCTCTGGCTCTCCCCTCCCTCCCCTGCCCGGTCCGTGGAAAAATTCTCTTCCATGAAACTGGTCCCTGGTGCCAAAAAGGTTGGGCATTGCTGCACTAGACTGAACAAATGATAACTGGCTTTGAAAGTGTGAGACTCAAAGGGGCTTTTGCCCTTCTACAGCCAGGGTGTGTCCAAATGAGCAGCCCCTCGTTAGAGTTGAGCACATCCTCCAGGGAGCCCCGTGTGGGGCTCTGTCCCAAGCGCTGTGCTGTATGTAACCTGCCCACTTTGTCTTGACCATGGAAGTCCTCAGGTACTCTGCACTGAGGCTCCCTGCGCATGGCTGTGATAGAGCTCTGCGCCTTCCACCACAGCCACCCTCCGCCCCACCTCTTCAGTCTCTCCAGAGTATCCTAGTGAACAAACTCAAGTTTGCAGTTCAAAGGAGAGGGAAGAAAGCTGTGCTCTCCAGCAGGTCATGCAGTGCCACTTTGAGACAGTTTTATTTGGGCAGTAAAATCTATGAGTTGTTCTTGGCAAAAGTTCTAATGAAATGGAAACCTTGAAATATGCTTAGAGCAGTAAATATGGCCTCACCCTGGATCTTGAGGACTAAAGGTTGCAGGCGATCTTATTAGTGGATCTGATTTGCTTTCCAGGAGGCTTGGTATTGGTGCATCCTTTCAGAACGCAGAGGGGGTCTGTACCATTTGCCTAGAGTGAGCTCGGTCCTTGAGGTCAGAGTTATTGCTGTGCGTGGCAGAGAGCTGAGCTTCGCAAAGCGTGGTCCCTGGACCAGCGGTGTCTGTATCATGTGGGGACTTGTTAGAAATGCACATTCTTGGTCCCCACTCAAGATCTCCAGGTGATTTTGGTGTGTGCTAGGGTTTGAGAACCACTGGTTCTGTATGTCATGGCTTTTTAAAAGTATTGGTAGAAGAGAGAGAAGAAAGGATGTCCACCCATGACCCCCTAAGACTGAGCTGCCTGATCTACTGAATCTGAGCTAGCAAGGGCAGTCCGGGAGTGTCACCCAGGAGGAGGGGACATTGCCTGCGTGGACCAGTGTGTGGACCAGTGTGCAAACCGGGCAGGTTAGGTTTCTGTGGGAGGTTTACCTTGTTGAAGAAGGTAACCATGTAAGAAGGGAAGCTAGCAGCAGGTGTCTGGAGAGGGCATGCGAATTGTTTTAATGCTGCCAACTTTGATTCCAAATGAGGGGAAAGGTTCTCTGCATCTTTTTTTCTTTTTTTTTAGAATTAATAGTCACTCTATTAGAGCAACATATTAAAAGATTTTTAAAGTTTTTCATTCAGTTTACAAATCTTATAATCTAGCAAGTTTCTGCAATCACTTTGGGGGCTTCGAATAATATTTGGCTGCCTTTACAAACTTGTGGTTTACAACTGTTAAACATTTAAAACTGCATTCAGAGATTGAACATTTGATTTCATTTTCAAGTTCTTTGGTTGTCTGATTAAAAAAACAAACCCTTCACAAGTACTTAAGCAATTCTTGTAAACCTAATAACGTGGTCTTATAAACATGGGAAGTCTTAAATTCTCTTACACGTTCTAATACTGCTTATAAACCTAACAAGATTTTAAAATCACAAGTCTAAATCAATGATATGTTAAATTAGAATTGCAAATCTAATTCAGTACTATGCCAAGTTCTCTTAAACACTATAAGTTCTGAAAAAATGTGTAAATCTATTGTAAAACTTTTAACGGTACAGCATCATTAATACTAAGAATACTATTGATGACTGACTTCATTGTTTAAATATAAATTCTAAATATCTCCAGGGATAAGATACATTTTCCCATTAGGGATATAATTGTCATTCCCAACAATTTTGGGGTTGCCTCATGATATTTTGGGGGTACGATTTTAAGAATAATTTTTTAAATGTTTTAGAATTGATAAGAAAGTAATCCATCTTCTCTGAAAGCCAGCCTGGAAACTGGATGCTGTTGTACCTATCTCTGCACCCCCACCCTATGTCATGCCTCCACCCCCAAACACAGCTGCTCAGTGGGATGTTTTTAAGTCACATGAAAGCTCACTCTTGGGCTCTGGTAAATCTGAGCAGTTTGCAAAGAAAAAATCCCAGACATGGAAAACCAAACCACAGCGAGGGGGCCTTGCTGCCCTCAGGCTACTGCGGGGTGGGCTCCTGTGAATGAAGATGACCGATGTCCCGTTTCCCTCTCCTTTCTGGGCAGGTTGGCCTCATCCAGCTTGGGCAGGAGCAGGTGCTAATCCAGCCCCTGAACAGCTCCCAGGGCCCGTTCAGCGGACGCGAGCATCTGATCAGGCGCAAATGGTCCCTGAAACGCAGCCCATCTGCCGAGGCCCAGACACCTGGGCAGCTCTGCAAGGTCCTAACAGGTGAGTCTGGACAATAGCGTGGCTGGCTTCGGGCACACATACAGCTGGCACCCCTTGTGTGTCCCCACATGTGCTGAGGTCACATGAGGGAGAACTTCACCTTCCCCTGTCTTTGGAAACTGTTTTATGGTCCCTAAGGGCATTTCCTTTTCCTTTCTATGTGTATTAGTGTCAGCAGCCCTTTGAAAAAGTCCTTATTTTATTTCTACAAGGAGCTCGGGATCTCTTTTACGCAGTGCCTCAATTTCATATAGGAGGAGCAAGTTGAGGCCCGAAAAACCTCAAGGGCTTATTTGTTAGCAAACCCCAGGTTGGTAGCAGAGCCAGGATGAGAATTCTCTCCTCCTGGTGCCCCGGCCAGGGCTTGCTCGATACAGTGGTCCTCAGCTGTGGCCACACTGATTAGAGCCGCCTGGGGGACCGTGAAGCACTGGGTTCGCACAGTGTGGGCCAGCAGCATCTGGGAATGTGTTCGAAATGCCATTCTCAGGCCAGACCTGCTGAATCAGAAACCCTGGGGGCGGGTACAGTCATCTGTCGTGCCACGGGTCCTGCAGGGGATTTGAATGCACGAAAACTGTGAGAACCACTGCTCTCAAAAATGCCAAGCACCAGCCTGTCCCCCAATAGCCTGATCTTTTTGTCTGGGATGCGACTTGGGTGTGAGTGTTTTTACAGGTGATTTTGATATGTGGTGTGAGGAGAGAACCCAGGGCTCTTGTATTCTGTGCCTGTCTTTGAGCAGCCTGTGAATTTGAGCAACAGGTGTTTAAGAATATTTCGTGGTGCCGTGTTACCAGCAATCTGCTTGCAAATGTCTCCTGATGAAGTTGGATCACAGGTGGCCTTTTATCCTGGGAGATCATGGGACCCCACAGCTGACCTTTGGAAGTTGCGCTTTTGTAGTTTAAAGCCTTATCTTTGTATGAAAATGTAGTGTGTCTTGGTTTAGTATTCCACGGACTTTGGAAATAAATTGATTATGTGATTAGGATGACCTTGTTATTTATAAACAAGTCTTGCAGCTCAGCCCAGCCATTGCGTGCAAACCCGACAGAAGCAGGTTGTCACCCGCCCCCCCCCCTTAGCCTAGTCTACATTTGGTGGTGGGTGTTAGAGGTGATTGTGCTGGATAAAGGCCATTTATAAAACTGCAGATGAACTTTGGTCATAAATGGAGAGAGAATGTCACCAGACATTAGGGTTTTTCTCTGTTCCTTTCTGCACCCTTACAAGTGGGAAAGACAGACCTCGGCATAAAATTACTAGTACCTGAAAAATACTCTTTAATGGGAAACAGAGGTTTTGGGAAGTCTAATGGTTGTGTGTGGGTGTGATGTCAATGTGTTCTTTTTAATGTGAGCCCCCTGACCCACCCTAGGTGAGTCTCAGACTAAACGGCAGTTAGTCCTTCTAAATCTCTGGGCATTTTCTGCTGCTGACCTGAACTTACTGGTCGAGAAGCAGAGGGGTTTCTCCAAGGCAGTGGTTCTCAGCCTTGGCTGTATGTTGGCATCACTTGGGAGCCTTAACAACTACCCATGCCTGTGTCCCGCTCCCGAAGAGCTGCTGCGATTGGCCTCAGGCACAACCTGGAGGCACCTGGTGGTGTAGAAGCTCCCTGGGCGGTTCCGATGTTCAGCTGGTGGCAAAAACCACCGCATTAAGGAGTATTAAATGTGAGGAATGGCACCGTGGCCCAGCGGGAGTGGATTTTCTCAGGTGAGCATCTTCAAGCAGGGTCCTTCAGTGAAGCTGAGGGCAGGTGTGTTCTGTTCCCCCTTCCCTCCACTCATGCCAGTGCTCACCAACTGCTAGCCCGTGACCAGAAACCCAGTGTGCTCATGGATGAGATAATGGAATGTTTGCCTGATGCCCGGCTTCCATCCTCTTTAGTAAGGATTGCTGACAAAATGATAAATGGTGCTTGTGTTTGCATTTTTGTCGCTATGGCTAGTTCTGAAGCACTCTTTTGATAGACTGTTTAGCCTTTAATGAAGGAGATAAAATTAACAAAACCAGGGTGGGGCGGATGTGATGGAGAATCAGTTAGAACAAGAGCAGCCATGCAAGACTGTAGGGAGAAATTTCTAAATTTGCTTAACAAATAATCTCCCCTTCCCTGCTTTCAAATCTCACGTCAGTTTGCTTTGCAGGAGCAATGTGTGTATTTAAGGTGGCTGCAGACACAGGCTCTGTACGAGGTAGGAACACAGAGGAGGGTTACGTATTTTGTTTCTGGTCCTTCTTGCTTTGTGCGAAATGCTCAGTAAACTTTGTGGCTGTGTTGAGAAAGACAACGGGCCTTTTACGAGGCTTAGCTCATAAGCAGTCAATGAGGCCCTATCTAGTTTGGATTAGCCCCTCAAACACTGGAAGTTTAGAAGTTGAGAAAATTAATTTCCTGGGACACCAGAAAAGTAAATTCTAGACGTTTCCTAGAAAGATCAATCATATTAATCTAAGATTTCCCATGGGAACATATTCTTTCTGGCTGAACATGGCAGTGGCCATAGGCTTCACTGTGCTCTGTTACTGACCTTGTTTCTGTTGCTCTAACTTTGGACACGGCCTGAGAGTAGTAGCCTCACTGGCTCATGCAGGTGAGGAGTCCGATAACTCGAATTCCTCCACGGAGTGCTCAGTTTACCTGAGAGCTGATCCTAGGTAAGCTGCCTTGTGTTTAGGCAGGGCTGTGGGCTAGAAGGACTGACACAGTAAAGCCACCCGGGAACTTCTTCCTTCTCATGCATACCACTGAGGTTGCATTTCTAGCAGTCTCTGAGGCTCTAGGTGAGGTAATGGGCTGATTCTATTTCCTATATAGCTCCTTATTTTTAGGACCTATAAACTGATTCATAAACTGTTGCTCCAGGTTGGAACTTGGCAAGAAAATATGGAGTCTGCAAGCCTCCTCCTTTTTTTTGTTTTTGGTGACAGCATGAGTTATTGGAGGTTTTTTGGCTATCCTCACCAATGAAAATGGTACTTCAGATATTTTGAAATTTTCCTCAATTTTTAAGTGGTCATTTTGACTTCAAAACTTTTCATCTTCCATGCTTATTTTAATTTCTCCATTCTGATTCAATTCAGAATCTTCTCGCTAGCGTTTTCGTGGTCTTCAGTAACCATCTGCTTCTTTATCTCCTCCACCATGATGGATGCCACGTGTAGAGGATAGAAGGAAATAGAAAAATAGAAGACGAATTTGCCATTAACATTTTCTTTTTCTTTTTTAAAAAGAAGCCCAGGCTGGAGTTCAGTGGTACCATCATAGCGTGGCTCACTGCAGCCTCGCACTCCTGGACTCAAGCTAATGCATTTTCAAAATAGGAATCCCACAACATTTTGAGTAGTGGTGAGCTCATTGGAACATGCATGTGCCATCCAACAGTGGTGCCTATGAGCATTGATGTCTACTTTATAGGTTAAGTTCTGTTATGATTGTTTTAAAAAATCATTGCAGCTATTTTCAGTATTGTCTGTTTTACTTATACCATTATAAAGGTAATTTCAGTGAGTTATTTGGAGGATACCACAACTTTTCAGAAACTGTATTTCTAGTTTATGCAAGAATTTGCATGTGTCATACTGTGTGTATATACTCTAACACATAATTGGTCAGTACTTGTGCTTTGTATCAGCTAAGATTTGTTTGGTTCAGGGCTGGGTGGGGTGGCTCATGCCTGTAATCCTAGCACTTTGGGAGGCTGAGGTGAGAGGATTGCTTGAGGCCAGGAGTTTGAGATCAGCTTAAGCAAGAGAGAGACCCCATCTCTATTAAAAAAAGAAAAATTAGCTGGGCATCGTGGTACATGCTAGTAGTCCCAGCTACTTGGGAGGCTGAGGCAGGAGGATCACTTGAGTCCAGGAATTTGAGGTTTCAGTGAGTTACAATGATACCACTACACTCTACCTGGGCTTACAGAACAAGACTCTCAAAAAAAAAAAAATTAGATATATAAGAAAGATTTGTTTGGTTGGAAATGACAGAAATCAAACTGTCTTAAATGCTAAAGACATCATTTACATAAGCTCATGGAACTGACAAGTAAAGCAGGAGATTGAACTTCAGGTAAGGCTTGCCCAAGCTCTGCTTCTCTGGTTCTTTCTCCATGTGACAGCTTTGTCCTTAGTTGGCTCCTCTTGAGGTGACAAAGAGGCAGCTAGGATGAGGAGGTAAACCCCTCTGTTTAATCAGGATTTGAGGTAGGTTGGCTTGGATTGGGTTCACCACTAGTTTGAAATGTTTTAAGGCAGGATCAGGTCTCTCCCTCCTGAAGAGTGCAGGTCCCAGCCACCATGTGACTATGGAAGTATCACTTTGTTCTTCATCCCTATCCTGACTTCTTGCAAGCCACCACACACTTGGGAAAGGTCTAGAGGAGTAGATTTAGGACACCTCTAATCCAGGACTAATTCATCATTCCAGCCCACAGGGTTAAAAATTTGGGGCTGGGCGTGGTGGCTCACGCCTATAATCCTAGCACTCTGGGAGGCCAAGGCGGGTGGATTGTTTGAGCTCAGGAGTTCGAGACCAGCCTGAGCAAGAGCGAGACCCCGTCTCTACTAAAAAATAGAAAGAAATTAATCGGACAACTAAAAATATAGAGAAAAAATTAGCCGGGCATGGTGGCGCGTGCCTGTAGTCCCAGCTACTCGGGAGGCAGAGGCAGAAGGCTCACTTGAGCCCAGGAGTTTGAGGTTGCTGTGAGCTAGGCTGACGCCACGGCACTCTAGCCCGGGCAACAGAATGAGACTCTGTCTCAAAAAAAAAAAAAAAAAAATTTGGCCGGTGCCTTCTTATGTCTACGATGAGGAATAATAGATGTGGTTAGTGCCTCATTTCACCTGTGCCCAGGAATGAAAGAGGCTGCTGGCCTTTGCTCACTTAGGGAGGGCTCTGTCACTCTGAAATTTATTTCCTCTAAACTTCTTTGAAATCTCAGTTCTCCAGTGGGTTAAAAAAAAAAAAAAAAAAGATTTTTGTATTCATAGTT